CTCTGTTCTCTGGTTCTGATCCAGGCTGCATCTTTTCATTGATCCATATGATCCAGTCTTCGGTCATTTTTCAATGATTTGTGGAGATTTAAGGGGTTTTGACGAGAGTCAGGGTCATTCTGTGGACTTCAGAAGACAAACACCAGGTATTGATCAGTGTTTGCACTGAAAAGTGGACCGGTGCTGACGGTGTCTCACTAACACTTTGTTTATGGTTCGACAGTACTGGTCTGTTTGAGTTGCTCCAGAACATTGTGTGGATCCGGGCCACAGCCGACTGGACTTCTCACACCGCAGGCAGCACATCTGGTCACAACGAGTGAAGCACACACACAACCAGCAGCTGAATGTTTGATGAACCTCCGTCCTGTCGGGTTTCTGCTACCTCACCTTGCCGTGCTCTCATTGGTCACAGCGCCTGCTCTGCCCTCTGGCCCCGCCCCCTCAGGTGTCTCACCTTGACATGGAGCTCCGGATGCTGGTTGAAGTAGTCAAACAGCTTCTGGTAGTTGGTGAACTGAGCGTCCCACTCGCTCGACTCCACGAACCGAAAGTCATCGCCGAGAGGAACAAGGAGAACCGGAGAACGGAAGAGCTGAGACTTCTGCCGGTACTGATCCAACAGGAGCAGCGCTCTGACACACAGATCAAAAACCAATCAACTGACTGATCAGACAGGAAGCTGCAGCTTCAGTCCTCGTCAGCTCAGCGTCTGAGGGTTTAGACCTGGTGCTGCTCAGCCCACCGCTACCCAGTAAACTTTACAACAAGAGAAAAACCAAAGCATGAGGCAGAAACATGAAGACAAGAAAGAACATAAAGTTCAATTCCAAAGAAAAAAATGTAAAAATAAGAGAATCGGTTTCACAGCTTCAAGAAAAGTTTACAAACAGTAAAGGTTCTGAAACCCTGAAGTCTTCAGTTCAACCCGACATGCTCCGAAACGCTTCAGCTTTTATGTGTTTACATGGGTTAAATGTGAGTTGCTTTGGCCCCGCCCCCCCCTCACCGCTCCTGGACATTCTGCTCTGTTATTGGCTCAGGCGGGACTCTCCATGGGCAGAAGACCCGCCCCCCCGGCAGGCGGTGGAAGTCGAACTGACAGCAGACCGCCGGGTTCGGACCGCAGGTGTGCGGCACGTCGTAGCTGTAGAACGGCATCATGTGACACATGATGTCACTGTGGGGGGAGGAGTCTGAAACAGGGAAGGGGGCGGGGTCAGAAAAAGCTGACAGTGTTGTTTGATTACTAAAAAAGTTCAACTCTGACGTCTTCAGTCTGCATTTAAAGTTCGTTAAGACACGTTCTAATGAGTCACATTTAATTTCAGTTCCAATTTAATTACAACAGATTTGGTTGAATCTTTTCTTTCTCGTAGACGTCAGAAGTTCTTGGACCGGCTAAAGTGGACCCGGTAAAGTGGACCCGTCACTCACTGATGACTGACTAGCGTTACTCTCTGTCTCACCCCAGCTCTGTCGCCATAGAAACTCCAGCGTCTGTTGCCGGGCAAAGTGCTTCTTGACAGCGTAGTGAACCCTCTGGATGACCATGTTTTGAAGCCCCGCCCCCTTCAGCAGGTAGGTCATGGAAGGGGAGTGTCCGAAAGGGTCGATGGCCCAGCCGCTGCTCGGCGTCACGCCTGCAGACAACACAGTGTGATTGGTTAAACTCAGACAGGTGAGCGAGGTGTGACAACGTGCAGGTGCAACAGGTGAGTCATCTGACCCAGGTGTCTCTGCAGCCATTGGTGGCCCTCCATCAGCTGATCCAGCAGAGCGAAGTAATGAGAGTTGGCTTCATCTGCCATCACCCAGCCACCCGTCACCAGCTCCAGCTGCCCCGCCCCCACTAGGCTGACCAATCAGAGCACATAAGGAACACCGGCGGGAACAAAAGGAAAAGAAGCGTCACATGACGGGAAATCAGAAAAAGTTGAGACAGGCAGTGATGCTAACAGTTCTGAGTTTACGGAAAACTAAAATGAACAGTTCAGATTTCTTTTCTGTTCTTTTTTTATATAATATATTTTTGGGCTTATTGCCTTTATTTAGAGCAGGAGAGAGAAAGAGGACAGAGGAGCAGAACGAGACCCGCAGCAGAGGGCCGTGAGCGGGAGTCGAACCCACCACCGCTGCGTCTGGGAGCTATAGCTAACTACAGCTAGCTATAGCTAACTACAGCTAGCTACCGCTACATATAGCTAGCTACAGCTAGCTATAGCTAACTACAGATAACTGCCGCAAACTATAGCTAGCTATAGCTAAGTACAGCTAACTA